TCATCATAAACCTGTGATTGATGTAGGTATAATAAAATGAAGAAGTTTGGTTTAGGGAAGAGGAAGAAAAGTTTCTCTGACTTGTGAAATAATATATAGGTCATATTTAAGCCTTGGGCTAAATTTTAATTAGGTTCAGATTTCAGGTTAGTTTCTTGTGCATAAAATAGTACAAATACTTACAGTGGCATCTTTTTCCACATTATTTTTTGCATACAAAACATCATGAAATTCTGCTTGATTTAGAATTAGTATATAGGCCTTATAATCCTTAATCTCCAACTTCTGTTTTGTTTAGGCTCTTTTTTTTAATATCTAAAATATGAGTCTTGGATGTAATTCCTTTCACATTCTTTTGTTGTTCGTAATTTCTCACCACACAGACTCCAGGAACTTCATCTCACAAGAGAGTGGTCCTAGGTTCGAGAATTATTTGTAACATATTATCCTTGCTAGACCAGAAAATTACTCTTTCATCAGACTACATTTTACATATGAACTGTGCACAAACTGATTTTCTATTTCTAAAAGAAAGAAGGAAAGGTGAAGGATGTGGTTCTATTATTATGCCGACATAAATAGTAACAGAGCATTGTGGTCTGTTTGTGAAGGATGTTAATCATAATGCAGATGTGATATCAAGTACAGACTATAAAAAGGGTATTTTATCTGTAACTAAAAATAGCATTCTATCCACTTCCTAATCCTCTTATCTATAGGATTGGAGAATATGAAGTACAAGCTTAACTAGATAACAAACATGCTGCTTGATATTTTTATAAACGTAATCACCAAAGATAGTATTCAACCTATGTTATCAAGTTACCCTTAAAAAAATATATGATTAAGGGAAAAAAAAACTTACGAAGCAGAGTAAATTTTTTTTTTTTTTTTTTTTTTTAATAACTTTCATGCTCAAAACCACATCCCAAAACCTTTAACCCCTACGATCTGTATGACATTACAGTTCTGTCATGAAAAAATCTGGGTCGAGGGCTGGGTGACATGAACATGTTGTCATTGGGTAAAATGGCTACAGGCTAAGTAACGCAAAGTTGCTGTCATAAGTGAAGGCCAGGGTGACAGACAAGACTCACCACGAGTGCACAAACCTCTTAGAGTGTAATTTGAGTCATTTGGCACTTAGAAGGGGGTTTATCATTATTCCAGTCAATAAAAGAATGTGGAGTGTAACATATATAAGCCATGACTGGAAGAGCACCGGCTCCAGGTAGGATGCCATTTCCATGCTGCGCACCATATTCCTGGCCACTGTGAATGGCAGCGCAGGTTGTATTATGAAAAATTGAAAATGATGAAAGAGTAAGATATATGACATAAGTAACCATATGTTCTATATTTTCTTCTTTCTTGCACTGAGTTATTACTACATAGAGAAATGATATGGAGTCTGTGCAAGGAAAATAAGCTATTTCCATCTGGATAAAGAAAATCAAAAGACAAATATAGACATTAAAAAATTGTAAAAAAGCTAAAAAGTCTACACAAAATAACTTTCTAAAGGGGATGCACAGAGTCTCACCTCAGCTCATTGGCATTCGCACATGTGAGGCCTACCCACAGCATGCCAAGGATGGTGGCTGCTTACATAACCCAATGCTCATATTTTCAGCACCTTGACTTCCGTGATGCAACCGGATCCAACAGGTTAATAATTTATTGTCTGTACATACTGTTTCTGCTGAAAATAATCACCATCAAGAGTCCAGAAAAGGAATTACCAAGCCCCTGCCTCCCAAAAAAAGTTTTTACTGTGATAGTCATTCTCAAAACAAATTGAATAATGTCAAATTATTATTCACATATATATATATATATATATATATATTATATATATATATATATATATATATATATATAAATATAACTTAAACTGGATTCTGAATATATTTATGATATCATTTTAGAACTTCAACTGACTTTTAGGTGTCAAAGAGATGATACTGCCACGGCTTACTCTTACATGAAGTAACTTTTAACATTCCAATCTTTGGCACTTAGGCAAGAACAGACTCTTCTGAGTAAAATGTTTTTAGTGTAGTCCTTCGTCTTGGATATAACCCCATCAACTTTCAATCATTTCTGAGTAATAGTGAAATGTGAAACTACCTTTTGAGTAGCTGGTATCAGCGAGTCAATAACAAAGGTAATATCATTATAATGACTAAATGATGGGAGCAGGATGGGATTGATAAATTGGAAATAAACTAAACAAGTGTTGAAAATATACAAATTTAAAAACATGAAATATCAAAATAATCATAAAAATAATAATAACAACAACTAACATGATTTAGAATATATTAAGTAATATGGCAAGGTAAAAATATAAAGAAAAAGTAAAAAATGGCATGTAATAATCACACACAACACACCCAAGGAAACACTGACTGACATAACCAAGTCCTGAAATAGTTTAGGTATACATTCTTCTGGACGATGAACAGGTCACTGACCAAAAAGAATATCGTACTTTTACCTTCCATTTTCAAAATTGTAAAGAAAAGTTTGGGACTGTATTCAATTCAACCACTTTTGAAGTGCACAACACATCATGTAACATATAAAATGGTTTTATAAATACAAATCTAGAATAGATCTACGTCTACAATGCAATGAAGGTTGTACTGATCCTGAAAAGAAAAGAAACAGAAAGAATCTTGGACTCCTTAGGCAAAGAAACAAAGGAACTGTTGGTAACAGTAAGAAAAAATATACATAGAAAATGCAAACCAATAACTAATATGCATACAATTTGCATCTCTATCTAAACAGTTGTATTTCCCTAAAAAGGGCAGTCAATACTAAATCCATTATCTCAAACCCAAGACATGCACAGCAAGTCAGACTCTAACATTGGATGCAAAATAGAGTAGGCGACTAAACTCTGTAAAAATCACGCAAATCAAATATATCCACCTAAACACAGGCTACAAGATACATGGTGAAGAGCTCATTCCATATCATAACAGTAACATTCGTCTTCCACTCTTACACATCATTTCCGAGTCATTTCTTGTACTGTGATATTGGATGTCTTCCTATATATGTAGCACAGGGGCTCATGATATTTGTTATCTAGAGCAACACACCCTCCAGAGGGTCCCAAAACCAGGATATATGTGAACCCAAAATAAATTGAACCTAACTTTTCCTACCTTCTAATTATTCTTTAGACAGGGAAGGCAAGCCACTCCCCCCCTGTACCCACCTTTTTAGCACTTCATACTAATTAACAAAAAATGTACATTAAGAACTCCGGGGGTTTTGTGGACTGAGTCTCTGAGCAGTGATATGCAGCGGATATTTTCATCATTGTGCAGTATATGAGGCCAAAGCAACTATACCTGTGTTATTTATGACTATTTCATATGTTCATTAAGATGGTGGTGTCCATGTCCCTCTTTTTCTGTGTGACACTCTCAGTAACATTAACCGAGCTCATAACAAAATGGATTACTAGGAAATCTTTACATTACTTAATATAAGGTGGGTGTCTCTCCATCTTGGGAGGGAACCGAAAACCCTGTAAGGTATTCCTGGGGCCAAAGTCCCCCTTCATATCTGCTAAAGCACTGTGTCCAACAGTGATATTCACATCTGGTAAACATATCTTTCCCCATTTTGTTTACTTCATGTCACCCATTCCTATGTGTCTCAAGATCCTTACTATAGAAGGCCAGCTCATGGTAAATGTATGTATATATACACATATGTGTATATATATATATATATATATATATATATATATATATATATATATATATATATATATATATATATATATTATATGATAATTTACATTTCACCAATCAAAAAACTTTTTCTTTTCTGTCTCCTTCAAGCTTATCATACCTCAAGCTTTCAAATCCACCCAAAGTGACACCCGAGTCTCTTGCCACTTGTAAAATTCTGTCTCTATGAATTATAAAGCCCTTGCAGACTGTGCTGGCAATTTTTCATCCAATAAGAATCCAGCCAAAGCTCTATTTTGCTAAAATACATGTAGTAGATGTTTGTTGACCTCTGCCAGAGCACAGCAAGCCATTTTGGATATATTATTTGCAACACAAAAGAACTTATTTTTTTGCAATTGGAAACAGAAATGCTGCATGTGCAGAGTAACATACAAATATTTGATTTGTCACTTCCATACATTATCTACCATCTTAAAGATGATGTTTCTTAACAAAAACTGATTCACACTTCCCAGGAAATACCCAATAACACAACCTTTAATAAAGAGGAAGCACCTCATCCACCAGACAAAAAATAGGAAAAGTATGCCATCATGCACGTTATATTCCTTTCCAATTGTAGGAAAGGATTTATTTGAAACATGTGAAAGGCTCATATAAAAATGCAATTACATTCATGAATCAGTTAGCATAACCTAGATCCCTGCAAAAGGAACTTGATTTATGTCAAGTTCATCAAGACCATTAAAACCTATTTCCGCGCAGCAAATATCTCCTAAACACATAGACCTTCATTTACGAGAAGATGAATAAAAGACAAAGGAAGAGGGAGTGATTTCGGAGGAATAACGGGATCCGGAAAGCAAAAGTAAGGAAATAGGGCGGAGGGGGAGAGGGACGGGAAGGGAGGCGGTGGCTGGCCGCGACGGTGAAGGACAGCCAATTCACTTCATATTGACCACTCTTTCACGCTTCACTTGATTACCTCGAAACACCTTCATGGTATCCGAGTTTGCTCTTTCAGAGCCTGCTATTTAATTAGAAATATCTACAAAAGTATGTACGCATGATGCTGACTATTGCGACAGTGTGAACTCCATCCGAGCCAAACAACCCCATTCATAACGTCATCAGAGGCGGAATAACTTACATCTTGGTCCTTCCCTTTGTTCTTGAACACTCCCATTCTATTCTTGAATTGGTCATTTTGTTGTTTTTCCATTTTAAAAGCGTCTCCAATGGTTAATTTGACTAAAACGCGTCCGGTGTCCAGGGAGGCAGACACCTCGTGACGTCAGAGCTCACCAACTACTCGAGGGATGTAAGGAAACAGCTGATTGGCCGGTTGTCCTCAAGGTTCTTAATCCTCTTTTCTCGTATTCATTTACGGACACACATTCATGCCGCCTTAATTTTCTTGCAAGTTGTATTCATTACTTGAGTAAGTTTATTTTCATTAATGCCTTAAAATTGCGTAAAATACTCCTATATATAATGGTATCTGCATGAGCACAGATTTGTTTACAATCTTTTGGGCCAATCAGAGGATAGCTCTCAAACGGGTTGGGAAACTTTGGCAGAACAGCTTTTAATTTTGTCAAAATTTTTCTTTTCCTGCAATTTCAAGTACTTTTTATGCCTTTTCCTTTTTCAATTATTTCGACTTCAGTAATGCTAACTCTTAAGCTCGGAAATATTTACATAGATAAATGTTATAAACTATTTTATACGCTGAGAGTTTTTAAGATTATTCTTAACATCATGTTATAAAGGACAAATTATCGCTTAATAATATGATTAAATACTTTTGGTATTAAATAATCTCTTCCTCGAACTGATCCTAAGCCCATGAACAAATTATTATCCGCTAATCGCAAACGAGAATGAAAAAAGAATCCCGACCAATATTCTCGAAACATAATACCCATGAAATAGCAAAAATCCCCTTCCGAAAAAATGAAACAATAATAAAGACAATTGCAATAAATCCATAAAAAGAAGGCAATTAGCGTTTCCACAGGAAGTATTCCCCAGAACGACAACCCTTCCCCAACTCGCGTGTCGTTCTGGGAACTGTGTTTACCTTCCCCCTCGACGTGCAGCCGGAGCACCTAAGTCTCCTATCAGTCACAGAAATTTTCCATAATGTCGTCTCGTTTTGGTCTCCTCGCCGTGGATGTTGAGCCCGGCGAGCGTGCCAATAAGAAGAAGCAAGATAAGGCCAAACCCAAGACGGACGAGAAGAACAAGAAGGCGGTCAACAAGAACAACAACAAAAAGAAGAAAAATGGGATTGATGAGAGTGTGGTAAGGTTTTGCAACAGATTAATAATTGATACTGAGTAATGATACGAGTGTGGAAAGGGATTGCAACAGGAGATTTACGATTCGAAAATATGAATGGGACAGGAATTGTGAATGGGGGCGAGGGCATTTTCCGGGGGTCGCCGCGCAGGGCAAGATGTCCAAATTCACTGATAAGATAATGCTATTCAAACGACTTCTCTAATCCTTTCAGTTGCATGGGGAATATATGAATGGAATATGCAGAATATACCTATAAATGTTATCTTGCGTTATGCTAAAAGAGGCTAGCATTGTTAGAAATTATATTTTGGGGGTTGACTTACTGATTTTACAATTGATTACCCCTTTCAATGTTCTAAAGTCAAATTATTGTATTTTACTGGTCCAGTGAGGTATATTAGAGAAGTATTTCATGAAATATTAGGAAAATAATTTAGGTAACTGAATTATTTCAGGGATATGCAACATTATTATGAAATAATGTTGACAGTGTAACAAGAATGAAAAGTACATGCTTATTATTATATATACATCATTATACAACAGGATTGACATATGCCAGTATGATATTTTTAATACTGATTTGTTTATTTCGATATGACTATCAATGTCATAAAGCTCTCAAGAACTTTGGTTAATTCTTTACAGTATGGAATCATTAATGTAAGTGCAATGAATCTAATGTTCTTTCCTAGTGCAAATCTTTGGATTTTCAAGCCCTCCATCCCTGCAATAGTGGGAAATTAGGCTTTTGGGTAAGGGGGGAAATACAAATTGTTTAACATGAATTTGATTTCAGCCTATTGAAAAATAAAGATATAAACTATGATTTTGTCACTATTTTCTCACCCTCATATACCATGATCATGATTACTCAGTGCCTTATGGTGTTGTGGCAGAAGGCTCAACAATATCCACTGTTGATGTGCTGATTGAATATGTGATGATGAACATGCATATTTGATGATGAATCTGGAAATGTCACCAATGTAGATCTAGTGCTAGAACCCATACAGCAGTCACACATTTTGATATAAGAACTGACTCTAAACTTTGTCAAACAGTCATGCTTTATTAAAACTGTAAGCAACGCTGAGCTAGCCTTGCTTATGATATTGATTACATTATACTTTTTATTGGGAATTATGAATTGCATAATTAGGGATCTAGATTTTTTCCGTTCCGAGTAGATGGCTTCTTATTAAATAAGTGTACATCATTTTACACAATTGCATCAGTCAGTTGTGATTTACCAGTAAAGGATGAAGGCAAAAGGAGATACAGCAAGTATCATATTTCTAATCCAGAGAACTTTTTTATTTTCATATCGTACAGGATAGGTAATTTGTAAAAAGTCGGATGTGATCAGGTTTTTTAATTCTTTTACTGCCTGTCAAGTAAGTCGCATTACCCCACACTAAAGCTAATTTGCCAACTTATTTGAATAAGAGTGCAAACCTTGACATGCAAAAGCCTGATTCTGCCTTCACACTTACTTTTTAGGATATTCCTATCTAGGTATAATTGCCTCTTAGCTCTTGGCTGCTTAGCACAGTTAAAAGATTTCTCTGTATGAAAATGTAATTGAGTACATATCAGAAACCTAATATCCGTATTTATTTGTGAATCACACTGGTATCACGCAAATAGGAAAAGGATGTACTTTGTTGAACACTTTGATGATGGCAATGTTGAAAAGAAATTCAGTCTTTATTGACAGTAAACTTTTAAAAGTAAAACTTTATGATAAACTTGACAACTAAAGATATACTGATTATCTTTTAGCCAGTAGAGGAAAGTTTAACGTGAAGAAGTTAAAAACAAAAAGATTTACCAGCAACGAAAAATTACTGACGTATCCTTAGTCAGACTGTTTATAAAGTAATTTGTTTGTACATAATAATTCCAATCTTTTAAGCTCATCAACAAATACTAGCATCACATGATTATAGTAAATTTTATTTAGTAAGATGTTAATCTGCCCAGCAATCATGTGATGACAAAAGTATAGAACATCATCAAGACCAAAATGCAGTAGCCAGAGCATCTTGAGTTGGCTTATCATCAAGGACTGTACTGAACATCATCAAAATAAAGGACTCGGATGAATACGCTGCCATTCTTGCTGCTGTTATGGTAGTGTGATTGGCTCTGTTCCTGCTAATACCAGTAATCAGGGACCAAAGCAACTCACTGATGTAGTAAAGACCCATAGGAATTATCAAGGATGATAATTATTTACCTTTACTTAATATGCTTTATGCATATAATCAGCTCTATTTGTATGTATCTTTTATCATATCAGTGAAAGGCTTGGTGTCTTTTATGTTTGCAGTACAATATGTTTCCTATTTCAGCAACTGTGTTAGACTGTACATACAATAAATGTACATACAATATTCAAGGAAAGTGACCATATCCCTGTAGCAAGTTTCAAATTGCTTTGTGTATGCAGTAACAAAGATCATTACTCAGTCAAGAATACATGTTAATTTGAGACTAGCAGTGTTGATTGAGGAAAGAAACGTGATTTTGACTCATACTTAGATTAGTCCTAGTTTGCATGATTATATGGAAAGTACTCACTCAGCAGTATGCAATTAAGTTATAACTAAAGAACAAAATCATATCCAGTAGCTCCTCTACACCTTGAAGGTAACTTTATGAAGGAGGGGATCCTAGGGGAAGGGGTCATTTTAATTCATTTAAGAAACTGACAGTGGGTATAGTCATCTCCTTCACATGCACAGTAAGTTGCAAAATGTATGTTTCACTTGCACTACCAGAGCACAGTTAATGGTTTGATTTTTTTTGTGTGTGTGTCAACCCCATATTATGTTTTAGTAGCAGTACAATCAAAATGATATGATACACACAAAAGCAGATCTATAACAGTATTTTTTTTTTTTTTGTTTAAAATAAGTATGTTCACATGCTTGCTGAATAATATATTATATTACTCTAAAGTGGATATGTACTTTTTAAAGCAGTGCAAAATCTTTCAATGTTTATTCACTGTATTACAGTCTATTATTTTATTTTACTAAGTTTGTAGTGCATTTTGTGGGTCAGCTTTGGTGACTGCATAAGACACCAATAACAAATGGAAATGCTTAGTTTTTAATTCACAATCAATCTCAGTTGCAGTTACAGGCAATGGCCTTTGGAACGGGCAAAACAAAAGCCAAAAAGAAATCAAATAAAGGTGGAGATACAGCTAAGAGAGAAGGAAACAAAGGAGATCCAGTGAAAAAAGAAGCAAGTAAAGTCAATGGCGAAGATGGGCTGAGAGTGGACGAGGAATGGCAACGCAGGGATGATGAGGTTTGAGCTTGATAAGTTTTTTATGTACTGTATATGTAAATATTTAGGTTTCATAGGTGTTGTTACTGATTATGCTTTATTGTATTTATGTGTATTAATAGAAAAAAAAAATTGATTGATTTTCCTTGCACTCCATGAGCACTTTGTAGTATAATCCATAACTTTTGTTTTAAAACTTAACTCCCTTTTTTCAGTTTGTCCGTGATGAGAATGAGCGAAGTCTACGGGAAGCTTTGATGCTCTCCAAACTTGACTTTGAAGAGAAAGAAAAAACCTCTGCACAAATTAAGAAAGAACGAGATGAGGGAAAGGGGGGGAAAGTGAAGAAGAAGAAAGACAAGCCAGTTACCATGTCCTTAGAACAGTTCAACAATCTTACAGTAGAGCAGGTAACATTTCATGTGCCGAGTCCTGTTAGCAGTGGTATTCATCCTACTACAATGAAAGTATCCACCCATTTCCTCGTTTTAGAAAAATGCTGATTTTATAGTTCTTTTCAGCTACAGAAAATAGAAAGAAAAAAAGTAAATCTCTTAAGATTTATTTCAGGATTATAAAAAATTGCATTGATTTTAAGAATATATGTGAATAATCATATGCCATTAATATTTTTAAAAGGTGAAATATGTAAGTGAATGTTTTCTCATTCTCTGCAGGTATGGATTATAAGATATCTAGATAGGGATTGAAAATATCATTGCAGTTGCTTCATATTATATGTATTTGAGACATCACACAATATCACATTTTACAGTTAGCAAGAAAAAATGAACCAGAAGTGCAAGAACCTCCTCGGAATGAAAACGAACACAAATTCTTCGATGACCTCGAGGAAACCACCCGGAAGACCATGGAGAGAGAAACAAGAAAGGAGAATTACAAGGCCACCGCAGGACAAGTAAGAGCCTGTGTTTTGCATTTCTCTTTGGTGTTGAACTTGTATTTAAATTTGGGCCCTTAGCTTCATCTTCAACTAAATGTTAATGATATTTGATTCTTTATACCTAGAAGAGAAGGCTCCTTTAAGAGAAAAACTATATATAGATTTTATTACACAATATACTAGGGGATTGCAATGAAATGTTTACTCATTGTTGCCTTTTTGTAACTCAATAGTTGTTCTACTGAGAAACACAGAAAACAAATTTTGTAAATATTTTCAAAGTAGATAAAATATATTTCATTAATACATCTCCCCTCAGTTTAACCATGCAATGCGCGTGTCTGAGTATGAAGCTGAAATTGAGAAGAGAGACTTTGAGATCCAAGCACTGAGGCTGGAGGTCGAGTCTTTGAAAAATGACCTTCAGATGGTGAAGAGCAGAAACAAAAAACTGTGTGAGGTGAGTATTTCCTTTTTATTGTTATGTAATTCTGATGATGTCATTGGAATATGCCAGCTACATCCTCTGCATTATGAATTTGTTCATTTTCATATAATCCTTTTTCTGCACTTTCTTTGCACTTCATATTATGCAAAAATCAGGAGACTACATTTCAAGATTAGGTCTTCAGACAGGTCTCTTATTAAAACAGTAATTTAGGGGCTATTTGATAAATTTAAATAAGGTTAAAAAGTAGTGTCCTAATCCTGTAAAAGTAATCAGCAGTGTGTAGACACTAGCCAAGGAGGATTTCTCATGGCTGCAAGTTATTTGAGTGTTCAGTGTGCAAAGTTGAAACAAAACAAAAAAAGATATATGTATTTATTCAACAGGTTATTTGTTCAGCTGAAATGAAGGCCAAGGCAGAACTAGTGGTTGAGCTAGATAAGATGACAAAAGTACGAGAGGAACTTACCCAGGAAGTTGGAAGCCTTTCAGCCCAACTGGAGCAGGAGAGATCCAAAGTCAACCAGCTTACGTTGGATGTCAAAAAACAGGTACATATTTTGTAATTTGAAAAGGAAAAAACTCATCAATTTATATCTAAATATATACAGTCGTTTATATCACCAGTCAGTTCTTTCTTTCTTTCTTTCTTTCTTTCTTTCTTTCTTTCTTTCTTTCTTTCTTTCTTTCTTTCTTTGTCCGTTTCACCATTTGGTTACTATACCATGGATCATTGATATGTTAAGGATCCTAAATGTCATGAAGTAAAGCTATTAATAATTTAGTTATTGGATATTTGGGTACTTGTGTTTTCTATATATTCAGTAATATTTACATGTTTAAATGTCAGTGTTATGATTTAAATACCTTTTGTTAAGGGGGACTGTTTCAGTAGTTTCAGACATGGGTGTAAAATGTTCATATAATATCAAGGAATCACTCCCAAAGAGTATTTCATCATGTGCAAAAGATTTAAATGTTTATAGTGGGAGCATAGCAGTTGTGGACTTTTTGAACAAGTAGCATAAAGCCTTTTTTTTCTGAATTCATGCACTAAATGCTAGAGTGGTAATCTTGTCATGTTTAGGATAACAGAGAGACTCGGCACATGACGTGCATCTTAATTACCTGCAGACTTTGAGAGAATACAATCGTTTGTGATTTTCACACTTATGCTGCCTTGTTTGTTCTTCCCAGGTTAAACTCATCATGGATGATAAATAGAACAAGAGAAAAACAGACAGATACATCATGTGTGAAAGCACTGGTAGAAAAAAGTTGACATATTTATACATGTCCACTAGTACACTGTGACTTAGGCTATCCTTTATAAATTGTAGTAGTTTGAATATTTTGATTACATTGCTACATTAAAATTTTGTAATAGGAAAGAAAGAAGAGGGATACAAGCATGTCAAATCCTTAAAATGTTTTATCTCCAATTTAATAAATTTTGTGTTTATTTAGTTAAAGAAAATTTGAAATCACTTAGATTTCCTTGGACAAACAGGGTAGATGGTTTCTCATGTTTGCTATTGCCAAATGCTTGTATATTATTGAAAATATGAAACTTTTATGAAATAATAAGGGAAATGTTTTAAAAAATCAATTAGGTTTAACAACACATGTCTTATAAAGACAAGGTAACATTCCATGATCTTTTAGGAATCTCAGAAGACTTTCCTTTTGTCAGTAAAGATATCAACTGACCGTTCACTACTGTAAACTAAACATAAAATGTTCAATGTTAAAGACACCATGTAATTTCTAGTATTGTCCTGTAAAAGGGTGTAAATATTATGATATTCAGGATAGATTTATGCAAAACAGGCACTGGAAATACATAATCATCTTAATTTTCTTAATTCCCAATAGATATATTTTCACTAATTATAAAAAATAATTCTCCCATGTTAACCCATTGGTTCCAGATGCTTCACTGCCATCACGTAGCACAAAATACAAGCATAAGGCTTATTTGAGTGGCCACACTGACAGGTGTGCAAGTTATAGGCCATTTGCACACAAACACTCATGTGCGGTGACAAGACTCCATGCCTCCCCTTTGCAGTCATATTGTCTCTTTTTCAGCATAAGCATTCTAACTTCTTTTTTTTTTTTTTTTTTTTTTTTTTGCCATTTTCTAATGTCTATATTTGCCATTTGATTTGCTTTATCCAGATTGTAATAGACTTCCTTGCACAGGTATTCCTTAACTCAGGGTAGTAATACTAATAAGTAACATTTCATCCTTCCTCTCCCTGCCCTATACCATAAGTTTTCTGTAATACAACCTGTGCCACCAATCAGGGCAGCTTAAAAATGGACCCTGAGCATGGAAATAGCATCCTTAATGGCTCACATATCGTACATTCCACACTTGTTTATCATGGTAACAATGGATAAATCCCCCTCCAAAATGCCAAATGAGTAATCACCCTCCAAGAGCTTTGAGTACTCATGGTGAGTCATTCCTATCACATTGGTCTTCAGCCGAAATGCTCATAATATCCCAGACCACAGCCAGATTTTCCCATGTTCACGTCACCTGTCCCACAAGCCATGTCACCCAGATTGTAGGGTTAAGGAAAACATTTTTTCTAAAATGTTAATCAATGCTGTGTTTGGATTTTCATAACAAGAAAAGAGATGCACTTGAAATGTTTACCCTTAGCTAAAGGTTTTATTAGTTTCAATGTTTTCCTTTTTTTCCCATCTCACAATAATTTTTTTTTTTTCCCACAGGGTAAAAAGAAACAGTCATCAGAACCAGCAGGCAAGTCTTAACAAGGGATCATGAACACCTTTACACCGTCTCAACTTTGAATAAAGAACTTGAAAATGTAATGCACTACTTCCAATAAATGATAAAATAATGTATTGAAAGACATGGTAATTATCAGATTTTTTGCCGATAGAATACCATTAATAAGACCTAAGCAGATTTGAGTTTAAGGAGTACAAATAATAGTAAGAAGTATAACTATTTTTTCATCTGTATTCTTTATGATGTTTGTAAACAGTTGCAATCTAATTGAAATATTGAATTAAATATGGGAGCTGCTGCAATTTTTTTTTTTTCTCTCTCTCTCTCTCTGATTTTTAAAATAACTAAATACACCCCTTTTCATATAGCTCTAATGGCAATGGAACTTTGTTAAAAGTGTTGAAATAGTAGTGCATTTTTAATTTGTTCCAGTAAAGTTGTAATCCTGTGTTTAATACCTTTTATTCAGTTGCCAATACTTTTACCCTTAAAAATTAAAAGAATCAATATACTCCTGTTTGATTCAGTAATAAAGTAACCAGATGGGTTGTTCTGCACAGTGAAAATGTGCAATTTTCATCCTGGAAGTCAGTGCATGTTTTGATTTTAATGTTTATTGTTTTTGTTTTGTTTCTATTCTCCCTTTTTAAGAAAAATCACAATCATTCTTATTTACTTGAATCTGCTATTCTAAAAACCTGTGATACTTGGAATATAGGACACAAAAAGATATGTCTGTCTGTCTACAGTCAAGTAAATCCAATCCAAATTACTTATCTTTTATTTCCCTGTAACCTTCTGTAAAGAATATCCAAAGTCATTAGCAGATAGTTGTTGATAATTATAAATCCCAAGAAAGGTGTCTAGAAAAAGTGTCTTCTTCTTTAGCTTGTATAATAACCATGAATATAACATTGGTAGTAATGTAAAAGGTTTGTATACAGACATTTCCATGCTTCCAAAACTGAAACTTGATGTTGCAATACTGCATCATCAGTATACTTGCTGTGTATGATCAGAAAATCTAATGACTGGTTGGATCTTGTGGAACAAAGATGAGACTTTTCCATAAAAATGATTTGACCAGTAAATCCCCACCTGACTAATGCTTGCAAGATTATGAAAGATATCACACGCTGCTGAAAACCATGAAGGAGTCAAGAACCTTTACTGGGGAAAATTGAAATATTCTTCCATTCATATGTCTTTATCTTACAAAGTAGTACAAAAATTCAAGGATACAAAAGGAGACAAATGTCCTTAAATATTAAATATAAAATAAAATAAAGCATTGCTCCAACAATCAGCCACCAAACCCTTCATTCATCAATGGAGATTCTTATATATGAGAATGAGTGTTCGGCAAGCTTACAGCCTCCATAAAAGGTCTGTGACTGAACATGGAACAAAAGGAATGCTGAGAAATTACTTCTGATATGTTTACAAGTATCCACATTTTCTCTTCTTCAACAAATGTAATCCATAAATCAAAGCAGAATCGTATATTCAGAATAAATCTCGTGGTCAGTTGAGATTATAAAGTCATACTGAATCTAGAAAGAAAAAGACCTCTGAAGAAAACTTGGCTTGCAAACCCAGCATTGAAATACACTAGTATCCTCTCTGACAATATTACAGTGTATTACATATCAGACAATGGTCATTACATATTTACTACACCTAGCACCACGTGAATAAATGCAAAAATATGTAAAACAATTCCACAGCATTTAGTTAAGCTTGTGGGATTCTGGCTTAAAGGCAATAGCATATAGTACAAAATCAACAAGAGCTATCATCATGGAGACTACAGTTGTTTTGCATACAAACTCTAAGGTCAACAGTGACAACTCGCACAATGACTAGTTCAGAAGAAAAAGGTTAATTCAAACTTAATATAAGTATTTGCTAGAGCCAATTTTCCTTTTGCCGATCTGGCATAAAGAAAAAAAAATCTATTCAAATCATTAACCCATACAACAGGTATTTGGAGGGTGATGGGTAAAAAAAAAAAAAAAAAAAAAAAAAAAAAAAAAAAAAAAAAAAAAAAAAAAAAAAAAAAAAAAATAATATATATATATATATATATATATATATATATATATATATATATATATATTATATATATATATATATATATATATATATAATGCAAGAGTCTTCTGCAGTAATAGATTTCAGCTTTTTTAAAAAAGCAGTTTATAAGTAAAAAAAATAATAATAATATAAAAAAAAAAAAAGCAGGTACACATAATTTCAATGCTCTTTGGTCCAGCGCACAGATTTTCTTCTTTTGTTGTTCCAATAATAGATGCCTTTGTTTCTTCTGCTGACTGTGGTTTTGGTTCCCAATTCTCTCCACTTATTATGAGAATGAAAATTACAGATTTTAGTAATTTATAAAAAGCACAACTTTCTACTGTATTCCTACATTGTGACAAAGTATATACATAAAGCTTATGCTTGTTTAAAATAATTCTTGCATCACATATATGAACCATTAATGTCATACACAATTCCTGTGAGAATGCCACCAATGCCTAAAATACATTTAGAGAATGTTAAGCACTAATATTAAAACTAAGAAGTCAATATTATTCTACAAAAGAACAGATAACCATCACATTAATTGGTGCATTATTTACATCTTTAAACACTTTCGAAATCAATGTGAGGGTCAGCCATTTTTTTCATGGCTGTATAAACAAGAAACATATAATGATAATACAAAGGAAGTCATATCACAACTGTTTTTTCACTCCCTTTTATTACACTGTTTTTACAAATCTCAGTGGGTTGCATCTTCCCAGAATGCTCATTAAAATAAGTATAATTATTGCAAGAGCGACTGAATATTAGAAATTTTTGAGAGAAACTCGCCTTTAGTTGAAGATTACTTTTTCCCCAATATTGACAGATGATCAGTATAGAGAAAACCTTGTCAAGAATCTGACAATATAGTTCTTCAGTACTTGACACCATAATGATGTGAGGTAGTGATGGTAAGTAAAAGATTAAGAAACTTATTAAAGGATACTACTGTTTGCCTCATTATTTTTGAACAAAGGATGCATTGAAGCAGCCTTGCATGGCATGATTACATTTGAAATGAGTTGGTGACTTCATTCTCATATATGTTACTATTAACCTTTAAATTCATATACCATTTATAAATCTACATGTTATAATAAAAAACATCATGCACTATTGTCTTCTATAGGAGCTATTTCTGAAGAAATTCTCCAATTCATCAGCATTTCTAGTAAATCAGAGTTCATTATTTATTTTACAAAATTTTTGCATCTTATGTCAAGCAGCTAAAATTAATTGCATGCTTTTTATACATGACAGATGAAGGTTTCAAAAGTTAGTGATTACTAGCGATAAACCCTGAAGTTTGTTGAAGATTAATACTTATTAATTCACAACATGATTGTATTTGTATCTGCCGCTAAAAGGCTGTGACCTCTAACTTACATATGTATATCAAGATTGTTGTGAGATGTAAAAAATATACTAGGAGTTACTGCTAAATATAAGAAGTCTGTGGCACTGGGATGGAAGAGCTACTTCAAGTATGTTTCCCAGATTCCTTTGCATTACAATCCAAAATGTCTCTTGATTTATAGACACTGCTGATGAATATCCTGCAGTCATTCTTACAAAAAAGTCTATTTTTATATGAAGAAAAAAAAAATGGGTTGAGCAAGACTGCGAGTCAGCATCAAGAGCATTTACATGGGTACACATGAAAATTTTTTATCTTTACCTTTTCCTTGGCAAAATCATCTATAAATCTAAAACATAATAGTAAAGGTAATTTAGAAAGTTTATTACTTACCTCTCATAATATTCTTAAGACCCTGTAAACTTCAGCCATTCATGGTAAATAAGTAAATATGGAAAAGAAATATAAGAAATATATAATATAAACATAGATTCTGTTATAATTCTATTAATTCTAAAATTGACACAAAATTATGTAAAATCATAATAAGACTACCTATAATTACCTTAACCCTTTTCCGTTTTAAGTAGTTATTTCTATTCCATTTCATCTGCTAGCAACACTTTGTCAGTTAACACAGTCATTGAGAATTATACAGATCATTATACATAATACTGTATTGGTAGTATGGTGAAACTAAAAAGCCAAATTAATTTTTCTACTACATATGTAAAAAGAAAGAGGTAACAAGGTAAAGTCTAAATCAAGATGTAGTAAATTTGTCAAATAAAACCAAAATGTTGTCTCTAAAACTTGATTTAATTTTGTTAACCCATTGGGCACGTACACAGGACACTGCAGTTCTGTTTTATTTGTTTCATTTGTACACAGGTGGATTTGCCAGCCCTTAGTTGCCAAGGTGATAACTACTAAACCTACCTATATCTGTTTACTCCATTTCTTAAGCTTTCATCAGAAAGTTTTTCATTCTATTGCTAACATCATCATTGCTAATATTACCATTTATTACAATCATCCTTTTACTATTCTGAAGTTATCAATAATAATATCAAAATACAAAGTAGGCCTAGTCATTGGCTCCTTGGTAACTAAACACTTATGAATCCATCTATATATAAACAATATGAATAAAACAAAATCATAGTGGACAGCACACTCCCAACATCAACAGGCTAAGAACATCCATAAAATTTCAAAGAATTCTAATGAACTGGTGAAACAAAGAGAAGAAAAAACCCTTGGACAAGTAACCAAATCACATGTAAAATGAAAAACATTATTGTTGTACAGCTACACAGAATAATATAATTAGAAAATCAAGCTCAACATTCTGACACAAGCAGCAATACTTTTTAAAATATAGCTGTTAACGATACAAAACTGTTAGTATCCCTGATTTTCCACCTACTCTTGGGTATGTGTGGCTTATCTGAATATTGCAAGGCATATTCCATCCTTTACAGGAATAAAGTCATCATCTCACAGTGAATCCATATGAATTCTGGAATGACTATCCAAGACTACCAACCCTTCTGAAACATATGGTTCTGTTCATTATTGAATGTTTTGACACCCCTCCTAATGATAGTTTTCTGCATAGCTGTACATTGGTGTATTTTGCCTACTTCATTCAAATCCCTTCCACCTTCTCCCATATTTTTTCATCTCTTTTTAAAGACAACCACTTCTTGAGCTTATTTGTGCAGTCTTACAAAATACGGGCACATGCTCTATGCAATGCTTTTTGTTTTCAAAATCACATCTACATACCCAGTGATCATGAAAATGATTCTTTCACAATGCTCAAATACTACATCTGATACCTTTACATGATAAAATGAGTAAGAAAACAAAATTGCAAATGAAGAGTGTAAAAAGATATATACATATATAAAAATGATATAGTAACAATTGTAATAACAAACACCATTCAATTCTGTGACCAATGAATAGAGGAAATGGCAATGTTGCTATTGACAACTTAAATTTTTCACATCACATTTATCAATAATCCTATACAAAAAAAAAATAAATAAATAAAATAAAAATAAAGTGAGTAAAAGGGTACTTGATGATGCATGTTACAGAAGAAAATACATATCTTACATGTAACAGAGTATTTTATATACAACCTGGATACAATGAATGAGTCATTATTACTTGCATAAACTGGCCATATCTACTACATGTTCACCTTCTTTCGTTATATTAAGCAGTGTTGAAGATACTGCATGTATGGAACTATTTCCGTAATCCATGAACATATTTTGCAGTAAACAATGAGAAGTACACCTGTGTCCCAAACCATATGATATAGAACTTTTTTTTGCTTTACCAAGATGAAAAACTGGCAGGATCTGACATTTCTAGAGGTCCTAGTAACCATACTGTCACAAATATTTTTCCACATGTTCTTAAAAAAAAAAAAAAAAATACATGTACCATAATTCATTATATTTTAAATCTTGTCAATATAGTTCATACATTCAAAAAAGACACCTCAAACACTGCAATATGTTAGGCAACTTCAATTTATGAGAATATTTCCAAACAAAAGACTATCCATTAAACTTTTGCGTACAAGAAAAAATAAACTTCCTGGTAGTGAGTTCCAGGAAGTAGGTTGAGTCTATGAAAATTGATATCTTAAATTTTTCTTGTAAGGAAAACTCCAAGAGAACACAAAAATAAAAGACCAACCACAGATATTCCAAATATACACACAAGTCAAAAAACTAAAGTTTGAAACTTTAAAAGTTGAGATTTGACAAAAACAAATATTTGGTAATAATCTATGCAAATCAATAAATATGCTGATTAAAGTACCTTAAAGTACCTTCCTACAAAAATATGCAAAAATAGGTCAGAAAGTTCTTAAAACAGTAGCCACAGTAAAAGGCACAGAATTTAATTAACGCTAAGTTGCAAAACATTTACATCAAAATTAGAACCAACACCATCTACACAATGGTCAACTAATGTTAGAACAGTCTAAATAAAATTTGAATGACTGCTTAACTTCTTAAAACCACAATCTGCAATATGCTACTTTTCACCAACAATGCACTTTGGGTTCCTTGGTGAGGCTGCTGACTTTTTCACATCTGTTTCTACTCTTAATTTACCTGGGCTCACAGGGAAAAAACCTTTGCGTATCATAACTACTGAGTCAAATTACACACATATGACTTTGGTGATTCATGCTGGTTCTGGTTTATAACAAAATGCAGCTCAACTTGGCATTTATTAAATTACTGTAGCTACTTGCTTCATCAATTTGAGACTGATCACTGTGTTAGTATTACTTTTTCAGTTAGCCAAAATACAAAATTGAAATATTATAAATTCTCTTTGTGTAATCCAACTTTCACAAGAGGGTGCAATGTACCTTAAATACAAGACCGTATATCGTTATTTAAATCATAAGTGAAAGACTTTATGCTTATACCCATTTTTAAACAGGTCTTGTCACCACTTATTGTCTTCCATCTAAATTTCCTCTTACATGACAGATAACTGTGATAGATATCCATCTGGCATTATTTCTGAATCTATTTACCATACTCAGCACAAATTCAGTCAAGTATCACTTGATCTATATCATATATATATAAGAAATGAAAGAGTCTTTTCTAAATACTTTACTCTCATAAAAGTAAAAAGGGGTGAAACACATGCAAGTTTTCATGATGGATTTGAGTTACAAATCTGGTACTACTGTCTGGCTACTTTTTCTAGTCTAGGCTATTAATAAGTCTGTCAGACAATGTAATACAACTGGATTTCTCAATCAATGAAATGAAGCTTTACTGTAGAACTATGAATTCTCTACAAAATACTGGCGAGAAACAAAAGTCAGATAGCAGGACCTTTCGTACAAATATGCTTATGAGCCATGAAGCTTCATAGATTTATGAAGAGGAAGCCAATCTCAGGTACTATTAAGAAGGTAAACCCCAGCTCCTCCTCAAGTTGCTACAAATTTTCTACATACACCTTCTAGGTAGAGCACTAAATACATTTCTAGATGTTAACCTCCAACCTGGTAACCCTAAAATCTACCAAGGCATCTTTAAATAATATAAAAAGTCTGCATCCTGCTTTTCTTCCAGTTCATCAGTCAAACAGCCAAGATAAACAGTTTTACACATTCTAAGGTACTATGGCAATATAGGGATCCTGTTGCCTAAATTCTATACCAAAAAAAAAGGCATCTACTGCATCCTTACATATACACTGAATGAAGTTTCACCTTCAGAATCTAACATTTGAAAATCATATAACTGATGTGCATATCATGAGGTATGAAGTAGAGTAAGTAATAAGAAAGAAATGGAAGCAACTGTCTATCATCAGAAGCACATAATAAATTTTCCATTACAAAACACTTGTCAGTTCATCATAATACTGACTTACAACCATTATAGCACAAGTTTTCAGGAGCTAATACTCCCATAATAAAGAACACAGAATTTACAATACCATAACTTTATGTGAAAAAAAAAATGCATGGACATTTCTTACATTCATCTGAATTGAAAAACACCATGTATGACGGAGATTCAATGCCCTTTTGTAAAGGACCTATCATATTCTTAAACAATACACCTCTTTTATATAAATACAATGGGCAAGGGAAAGTATACGAGAATATATGATAAATGTCTTTGAAATTCATTCTCCTTTCATAAAACATGTACTTTAAACAAAAAGTAGAAAAAAAGCTACACTGAAACCTAAAGGTAAATTGTATACCAGTCTGATCACATGAAAATTCAACTGCTAGTAAAACTAACAAATAAGAAATTTCACTATAATTTTTATCAAGCTGCCATTACCAACTGACTAGAACTTCATTATCAAATCATAATTCATAATTCACATTAATCATTTCATTCATTAACAAATATGAGTATTTGTTGTAGTTCTATGAGATTTCATTTAGAATTTCTTAAAAGTGCACATCAAATATTAAAATAATCACGACAATCACCCAATTACAAATAATGTGTCAAAACATCTTGAAAATAATTAAAACACTTTTTTCCAGATTCCTAAAATTTCAATTACACTTTTACAAAGTGCAATTCTACTTAAAAAATAATAATTGACAGCATAAACAATTCATCAAAATGAAGGCAAATATGTAGGCAAGAGTGCACTGGTAACTGAAGTATTACCTTTCAAAATCATCTCAGTAAATAGCACTATAACAGCAACATATATCACAATAAAACATATTCATATAAAACAATATAGAAAATACAATTAACATACAAAGAAAATTCTAAACATATTCAACAAAAAGGAATGCACAAGTTTCACTGAATAACACAGGATTTTTTGGGGTATAATATGAGCATCATGAATACTTTTCTAAGGTATAAATCTAATTACAACGAGTATTCACATCCTTATTAGCAACGAAGAATCCAAAGAAATACCTTAAAATTCTAATTCAAAGTATCAAAATACCATACGTATCATTAAACTAATGAACTCTCGTTAATGAGACACACGCCTCAAAACTAAAATCATGTGACTTGAGAAAAAAAGAGTACCTACTAAACATACATTAAAGCCAAGGGCACAGCCAAGTCTTACACAGTGCCCTCCCGGACCTTCGTGTGCAGAGGTTCTGTCATGAGAACAACTGTTTCATAAGGTGCACATTCCTCAACATGCAGCAATGAGCACAACCATCCATAAAACCCTTTCTCTGGATCACTCACCTCACACCACCAGGAATCATATGATATGGAGATCTGAAAATAAGAAGGTAATTAAGAAAAGTCAGTGATAAAGAAAGCATAGGCTATGCCTAACCAACACTGCTCTGATGAAGACTTCTACAGGGTTTTGAGTATATATCATAAAAGTAATAAAATCTACTCAACAAAAAGCTAATGAAGGCTCTCCATACCCAAAAGGGAGTTTTGACAACTAAATATGGAGTTCCATAAGTGTCTAACTGGGACACACAACTTGCCACTAAGGAATAATTCTGTAATAGGGTGACTTACCTGTACACAAGCAGCATAAATGCCTAAGCCCAGAGTAAAGACAATTATCAGGAATGGATACAGTAATATGAGCAGCGGTGGGAGCGTAATCTTGGGAAGGCATCGAGCTTCTGTAACCCTTGTCAACATGCTGTTGGGTAAATTACCTTTGTAAAAAAATAATTCTATGGGCCCCTAAATATGTACAAGCAGTAAATCTATGTATAACTACTAGGAAACAGTAAATACATCTATTTTCTTTCATTTGTAAAAAATATGTAAATATACATCTTTTTGCACAAAGCATAAAAAACCACAGCTTAAACATAGCTTTAAAAAATTATCATAAATTACCAACAAAGAACATAATTGAACACAAAGTTCATGTTCTCTCTCTCCCTCTTGTTCACTCCTTCTCTCCATCTCTCCCACTCTCATCACTGTCATTTTCATTCACACAATCAGTCCTATTGACCCACTCAAAAGAGAATCTCCAGTGCCATACCAAGCCATCCACATGGCAGGGTATGAAAACATAGAATCCAGGGAAAAATCAGAATTATGGGAAACAAATTGACCACACTCTCTAGCTCTTGGCCATGGCATAAATAACTGTTTAGGTAATGAAGATAAAAATAGGCTTTAAGCCTGTTTTTAATTGGCAATTTCTCTCCTATGACTGCAATCAGGGCCAAGCAAGTGAACCACTGTTTAGCTCGCACAACTTCAAGCAGGCTTGACCACACATGACATGAGGGGTTATTCTGTAATATTCTAAGAGACATTCTAGCCATATTGGGATGGGACATCATCCAGCATCAGTGGAATTGTCTCAGGGGAATTCACATCATACAATATCTACAGGTCTATATTAACTTCTTAACCAACTTTAATCTAACAAAAAGCAAGGCTGAGATACTGACCTATACCATGTGAGGGTTCCAAGGTAAAATGAGTAAGCCCCAGACACCAGGAAGACAAATGGGAAGCAGAGGATAGAGAGTAAGGTTATGTGCAGGCCGTAACGCAGGGAACAGGAAGGCTTGGGTTTATCAGGGCCCAAAGTTTGTGTGATAGAAGCTTCCAGATCCTCTAGTTCTTCCCGTGACAGATTTACCTGTTGATCAACAAAGAGAAACTAATTATTTTGAGGATCTATGACTGCTCACAAAGAATAATAACATTGTAAAACAAAAAAATAAATAAATAAATAAACAAAAAATGCTCATCTTCATCTCTTTTTCATAAAACATTACATATATCAATGTAACAACGAGGACTTCCCTGTCATGGATACCATAGTAAAAAAAAATATGTCCACTAATAAAATTATTATATTAATAACAAGAGTTAATCTAACCACAAGGACAAACTAAACAATATCAAGTTTTTGGTATTATGAGTTTCAAGTTTACTTCTAAAATCATATAGACAACTACAACTAAAATATTTCTTAATATTGTCACTGTCATACATGTAATGATCAGGAGGATGTAAACAAACATGTTAAATGAAGCCAAGTGGGACTGTGAGAAGGTGCTCCCTGTTAGATATGCCCTACCATTGGCTAGGGGATGCACCACACTAAGGGATTGGTTAGTAGGCATGAGGAAAATATACCTTTGTGACATCTCATCCATGCACTCATCCTCAAAACCTTGGTATCATAACAGCAAACTAACTTCACCTATCTAATGCACTCAAACAGCTGAGAAAATGGAGAAAGAGAAAAAAAAAAGGATTTCTGATCAGTGAGCAGTCTGCTGTTATGGTTCTGTAAATATATCATAGCACTGATATATGAAACAGCCACTTCCACTATAATACTTCATCTAGTTCCTCTTTTAATCAACTTATTACCCAAACTAACCTTCACATCAATACTGTGGCCTTTCTTCTTCCCACGTTTGATGGTGCCAGTCAGCGTCACGTAGGACTCCAGCCCTTCAGGCAGCTCTTCACTGAACACCACTTGGCCACCACTGCCACCACCGTCACTGCTTCCACCGCAGCCACTGGTGCCCCCAATTTCATTTCCGAGACACTTGGATCCTGTTCTCTCGTCTCCTGACTCGCCACTGTCCGACACCACTTTGATTTCTCCTGTGGCAGTAAGACATGTAAATAACCATCCATGGATGGATGGATGGATGGATGGATGGATGGATGGATGGATGGATGGATGGATGGATGGATGGATGGATGGATGGATGGATGGATGGATGGATGGATGGATGGATGATGGATGGATGGGAAGGAAGGAAGAAGGAAGGAAGGAAAGGAAGGAAGGAAGGAAGGAAGGAAGGAAGGAAGGAAGGAAGGAAGGAAGGAAGGGAAGAGGAAGAAAGAAGAAGGAAGGAGGAAGGAAGGAAGGAAGGAAGGAAAGGAAGGAAGGAAGGAAGGAAGGAAGGAAGGAAGAAGGAAGAAGGAAAGAAGAAGAAAGGAAGGATGGATGAATACACACCACACACACACACACACACACACACACACACACACACACACACACACACACACACACACACACACACACACACACACACACACACATCAGGGTTGGCATGATCTATATGAAAAGACTACAGCAACAATTTCAATAAACAAATCAGAGAAAAGAAAATACGATTTTACTCTAAATGCTTTTTTTTTCTTTAACTAACTAAAACCATATTCTTTATCATAATATCAATTTCCAAGATCATATATATCTAGAGCAACATTACAGTTATATTCTTATAGCAGTTTGTTTCACTGATAGTAACATACCATAATTCCAAAGTCAATCAAAATATTCAAAAAATTAACTATGATCTATATATAGTCATTGTTGGATGGTGCTTGAATGTCTTTGTTCCTTATCAGATAAAAACTTTGAGCTGCCAACCAGTTGATAAATAATATTATTCATTAATTTTGCATTATAAAACCTGGTACTGAATAGAATTTCCTTATATATACATGGCTCTACTGTAAATACAAATATTACCTCTGCGATAGTAACTACTGATAAGATATTGCTAAATATGTTCAAATAAAAAATACGGGCCTAAGGAGGATCCAGTCACTGGTATGCACAGGAACAGAACTATCAACTTCACTGCCAAAAGGAGTCCTCTTTTTATTTGCATCTATTTTCTTTTATTATATTTGAAGGTTAATTCATGGCCTATCTGGGACACTAGACTTAATTCAGAGCTTAAGCCTGAAACCATACAACTGAAATAAAGGCTTTTGCATATCTGGAAACAAGTATCAAAGATGCTTGAAAATTACTTCATGGCAATCACTTCCCTGGCTAATTTAAAACTCATTTAGATATAAAAAAAAAAATACATATACATTATATTTTTCTTTCTAAAGAACCCAAATTTTCCATCGAGATACTTACCTGAATTCATTCATCCATAAACTTATTCATCTATTTATCTAAACTTTACATTGCAAACCTCACACACACATGTATATACCTTCTACAACACTTATGCCATCTAAATCCTCTTGGTCTCTGCTGTTACTTCGTGAATCACCTGCACTGTGTATAGCTGCATCATCTACAAAAATGGCACTATTTCTGTGAATACTATCTGTAAGGAAAATAAAACTTAAAGTTAAAATGACAGGCACAAATACTGATGATATGCAAACCATCTACATGGTATGAAGTCATACCAAAAATGTACATCTAACTCTACTAAATTGCTATTACCATTTCTGAATGTTTGAATAAATATTGACTAAAAGAAATGGTAAAGAATTATATATATATCTATATATATTTAAGTTTACATACATATACATATATATATATATATAATATATATATATATATATATATATATATATATATATATATATATATATATATGTACATATATATATGTACATATATAGATGTATACATATATGTATACATATATGTAAATATATATATACATATATATGTATATATATATGTATGTATGTATGTATATATGTATGTATGTATATATAATTTCCTCTAAAACTGGAATAAGTAAAAAAAAAAATGGCAATATTTTCAAAAAAAGAAAAAGACAATTTTTTGTCACAGGATGAATGCTTTCTAAAAGTTTTGGCAGTTATACAAAAAAAATATATATAATATGTTGAAACAAAAAAATGAAAGTAAAGCCTTGTGCAGGTGCACCAAGATAATCACATTACATACAATAAATTACCTTCCTGACAACAGAAGAATCTTGACACACGAGTAGCCCTCAATGGCTAAACTAGCCTTTCAGTATCTACAGAAACTTTCACTCATTATCTCTAACAAGAAACTATTTATATCTTTTTCACACTTTTTGCCAATTCATCATATATCTTCCTCTATATATTAAGATATTTTGAATACAATCACAAAATAAAAGGCATATTGATTTAACATCTTAAAATGCATATTTCACTACATTTCAGGATATGGTATCTGGCATACAGTTGATGAATAAATGAGCCAACTTAGTAATACAAGCTCTCCCTCTGCAGTAACAAATGTGAAGATTAAAGAATGTTGCCATGGCCTGGGTAAATTTTCCATGTCTTTGGAACTGCTAATCTATGATTCATTAATTCTACTAAGTACTACCCTTTAATAGATCGCATTCCTTGTAAGTCTTCTTTGGGCTAAATTAATTGTAAGACAAACCTACCATATAAACATTTTGCATGTGACAAGTGCTTGGATATCTTAAAATATTCAGACTGATGCTAAAAACAAAGCATGCTGTTTGTAATAGATAAATACATGAGAGAAACTACAATAATGAAAGGATATTCCTCTCACAGACACCTACTAACAAAACTTACCTGAGGCATTGCTACTTGTCTCCAACAAGTTATTCATGCTAGCTCGTGAATGTGTTTCTCCTGGCAGAAGTCTGGATCTGACTGTCCCAGAAATAGCTTCAATACTTCCAATGCTTCCCCCACCTTCCTCTGATAACAAAATAACAGATGTGTTTTTTTATATTGATCTTGGAGGAAATCAATCATTTATAGAAAGGTTATTCCTTGATGCCTGGAAAAATAAACAACAGGCTACCCTGATATACACAGCTAATAGACACTTAACAACTCAAAAAAAAAATGCTCTTGCAATATATATATATATATATATATATATATATATATATATATATATATATATATATAATATATATATACTTTTTTTTCTTTACTGAACAAATGCCCAACTATGTAAGTGAATCTCAGTACATAATACACCTAAAGATATCTTGAAACTTTCTGTTTACAACATATACCAATTTGGAAAACACTTACCCTGTTGTAGTAAATTATCAATACTTGGAGTATTCTTGTCAAGATCAGTTGTGGAGGCTGTGTGCTGAGACTGCGATGGGGTCATATTGGGTGTCATCGGAGTTAAGATTGATGCTGCAGGTGGGGTGTCCTGCAGCAGACATTCTGCTGACCCTCCCTCTCCTACAGACTCACTCTCACATTCCTTTTATAGATGATAAGAAATCAATTATACAAAAAAAAAATGTATATGGCTGTATAATACACACCCAACATCATTTTGTGCATATCAAGTGAGTGGAACTAGGGTATGTGTGTGCAAGAATTAATGAGAGAGTGAGAGTAGGTTCGTGTTACCCCATCCAAGCTCCAAAATCAAGCAAGGCATCAAAAATTTCAATGCTGGCCAAGTCGCCATTTATTTGTCATAAGGTCAAGCAAAGAGAAATTGACAGGCTTCCCTACTGCTGCATTTAAATCAGTCTTTAGAAAGGTAAACACCACAGTTCCTTCAAGGGAAGCAATAAATAGTTCTTTAAAATAGTAATGAAGTTAATATCATACAGTGACAAAAACTAATTCATTCTAGCATCCCAAAACTCACAGTAACTCTACTACCAGCAACTGTAACTTGTTACTTTTCCTAATTAAGTTACACTTTGATACAAGTAACAGCAATGGTAATACCATTACTTTTCAAATGTTATGCACACACCACTGAGAGTGAATGAGTGTTTAAAGCATCTAATTCATTCATACATTCAATTTTCAATTCTATATACATAAACTCTACTACACTCTAAAGCCAACTTACCTGAGCTGCAGATAAAATCTTGTTGGCTTCTAATACTTCCATTGTGATCATCTGGGGGCAAGCCACCTATGTGTACCCTAACCTGTTGGAATGAGTATTGCAGATTATAGCAATATCTGAATCGTATGTTGTTTTTTTACAATAATAGCAATATGAAGATAGAAGAGAAAATACAAGAAAAGTAAATGATGAAAAATATTTTCTCCATAAAATACCTAAAAATATGTTGTTGAAATAATGCATCCTCATAACTAACACATCAAATCCAACACATGGTATTATCCATAAAACCAAAATATCTACCAAGAAATGTATTACAACAATCATTTACATAAGAAAAAAAAATACGTACAGTCCTATTTGTCATGACCACAACATTCAGCATAGTTTGCAGTCATTTGACATTATTGTGTAAGGCCTGTCAAAAAATGGCCTGCCTTTTTTTTATAACTTTTCCTCCAGTCTCACTTGCAATATCAACCCCATACCCCCACTTCCTTTGAAGGCTCTCCTCTCCCTCTGCAATCATATTCTTGCAAATGGAGCAAAGAACAAATCAATTGGAAATTTTGGTATAGTACACCATATCATATCCTGCCAAACTCCTCCCTTTTCCTTTCCCACAATCCCCTCCATACTTCATACAAGTACATAGGAGTCATTGTGTTAGCCATTCATACATCAAAATAATTATAATTGCATCTAAATACATGTTCTATTGTTATATATGATAAATTTATTACCTAATTGCTTCGTATATTTCATTTACATGTTTACATAATTTTCATTCATAGACTATGCATAAAGAGACTGTGATAATTCTAAGGAAGTGACAACAGGTATGGTAGAAAAGCCGCTAATTTGCATCCTGCACATGCCTGGTGAAAGAAGCAAGATGGCAGCATTTTTAAACGAGGAGATACCACTCTCAATTAGTTTAGGTTAGGTTTGGTTAGGTTATGCATTTCAGGTTAGGTTAGGTTAGGCTAG